AATAATAATAATAATAATAATAATAATAATAATAATAATAATAATAATAATAATAATAATAATATTGGAATTCGTACTACCTTCTGTGGTGATACAATTAGGTGTGTAGATTATATTATGCAATAGTTTACTAAGAATCAGATAAAAAAATAATTCTGAAATATAGTCACTACTACTACTATATATAGTTACTACTATATACTAAACTATATAGAAAATATAGTTTATTTTTTACGATGTTTTTTCTTTTGCTACACACAAGATTCCATTCGAACTCGCTAAACTTTAATATAACTTTAAATATACTTATAATTTATATAATAAATATAATATATAATTTATATATTAAACATACTTATAATTTAAATATACTTTAATAAACTTTAAATATAACGCTTGTTAAAAAATAGAATGCATTTTTCCGCTGATGTATCCTATTCGGTGTAGCAAATTTCGTGAACATCTGCAAAGTGCAAGAAATATCAGAGAGCTGGTCGATAAAATATCGACTTCTCACATAAATCACTTCGATCTCATTTTCTTCGATCTTTTTGAGATCGCCGAGTTCGTAGCCGAAGTGTCGATCATGTTTAGAAACGATATGATTCCTGAGAAAACTTCTTCCAAAAACTGAGGCTTGGTAACGGAGCGCGTTTTTTTTTAATGTAAAAACGAAGTGTCCACCACACTTAAGTGTCCATCTTTCGTCTAGATCTTGAACGATTCGAGGGATGAACAATGAACGTTTTACTGTAATCCGAATATCAATTGTATGAGAGCCCATTCAATTATGAAAACGACAAAGGGAAGACGAAATACGCGGGAGCGTTCCATCCTCCTGTCTTTCGGCGGCGCAGCGTGCTACTTGGCCAAATGAAGACGTAATTCTTTTAATTACTAGGTAGCTTAAAATACAGCTCCTATTAAAGCGCGTGAGAAATGAAGGGGCGGCGTGGCAGCGGCTCGGCCCGGCTCGGCTCGGTGCGAGTAGCGAGCTCCACGATCCCGGCGAGAGGGCACTTTCGCGAGGCTTCAAATTAAAACGCGTAATTACGCCCGGCGAATTTAGTTCCAATTAGTTTACGATTACCTTTCAACTTGGCTCCCGCGATTCGCCCGGTCCGGATGCTCTTCGTTCGTCGGCCGAATTTTCGAAATTGATTTCCATTTCCGTCCGCCGACTCGCGCACTTGCACGCGCACGGTAATTCCGAAATGAACGTCGCAGAAGTTGCCGTGCGTGTCTCGGTGCTCGCATAATTGGAAAAAACCCGATCTTTGGCGGTTATGAGGCCATCTAATAATCCTAACGGTTAATGTCGCAGATATAAGCACACCGTATCGAGCTTTCCGGATATAGCACATTTGTTTACGACATTCTGAATCACTGATATTACAAGAGATAGCAATAAACAAATCCGTTGTAGAGAGAAACGTGAAAATGTTATGAAAATGCACGCGGTATGGAACGTTTTGGCGGCTATCTTAATGCCATCTTGGGAGAAACATAGAGGGGGGTAAGCGTTTCGTCCGGGACCCGCTAGAGGACTCGGAAGGCAGATGTTTGACTTTGCTAGCCGCCGCGCTCAGGTAGCGGGTGAGCAGTGGCGAGCGATGCGACGCCACAGATCTAAATGAATTCTGAGATGATTTATTTTTCGTGCATGGTCTCGCGTTCCTCTCCTCCGTTCGTATTATACTATTCGGTCTTGTATTATATTATATTATATTATATTATATATATTACATTTGTATTGTATCTTTTCCTGTACTATGCATGTTTACTATATCTACTCTACACTTATTGTATGCGCTATATATACTTTTATATATGTATATTTCATTATACTTTATTTTATAAATATTTTTCATTTCATTTCTTCTCCTGTAACAAAGGGTTTACTTGCCCCTATAATGAAAATTATGATTATTATCATTATTATTAACACTCCACCTCTGAGACCCGTCGTCATTCAGGAACCAAGCAGAAAAATGCCAAAACAATTATACCAAAACACTGGAACCACCCTCCACTATTCCTACGCCATAACATATTCCACCGAAATTTCAATACACTATCGAAAAACAGAACCCGAGAATAAAAAAGTCCTGCAGAGACAAAATCGAACGACACCCGACGTCCCGGTAGAACGTTCCAACGTTTGGTCAGCGATGTAGTCATCGGTCCTGATTAGGGGTAGGCTGCGGGAGTGGAAAGGAGTCGGCATTATTTTCCTCGCAGGGTTCGGCGTGTGGAAATCGTTTGGCCGGTGGTGGGCACTCGAGGACGGTCGATCCTGTGGCGAGTTCGATTTCGAGGGCGGCGGCGGTGGCAGCAACGGTGTTCCATTCTGCTTCTTCCCCGCGCGATCCACGAGCTTCATCCCCCTTGTCGGCCCTGCGCCGGTTCCCCGCTTTGTCGCTCTTTCCCGGAGCGGCGCGTATCCGCGCACCGTTACATGCATATGCAAATTTATTCTGCCGATGCATTAGTGTACGTGTGTCGTGGCAGTCGGCCGAGCGTGGCTGTGTACGTGTGTACACGCGGAGCTTCCTCGTCCGCGTTGTCGGTGCAGCGGAGAGGGTCATAAATTAAATGATGTAAATGCTCTGTCCACCCTCTGCCGCAGCCGAGGAGGGACGACACACAACTTCCCTCTCTCTTCCCACGTTGGGCTTGGACACAACCCTTCTCTCCTCTCTCTCTCTCTCTCTCTCTCTCTCTCTCTCTCTCTTCGTCTATCTTCCTCTCCTTTGCATCCTCCTCCTACCACGGCCTCTCGCCAACGCTCGGAGTGACCCCGACGATCTCCGCTCTAACCCCAGCCCGAATCCAGACCCCTTCTGACTGATTATAATTATCGGGGCGTACCCTGCGGCTCGTCTCGCATGGATGAAGAGGAAAGATAATGCGTCCGAGCGAAGTGCCATTGATTCGGACGCGCCTAACTGCCGTCGAATTGCCGTAAGTGTTCGTATCGACGTTACCCAGGGACACGGTAGCGATTCTTGCTCGCCGCTCTGACTGAACACTTTGTTCCCCTGATCGTGATGGATTTTCGGAGCTCCGGTTTGGCGACTCGCTGCGATAACACGCTGCAGTCCTCGACCGGATGCAGAATCTAACCGGTGCAATCACGGTTTGCAAAGAGATATATACCTTCGCTTCGTGTTCTCTTCGAAATTTTGTCTTTTGCTTAAATTCTTTTGCGAAAATTCTTTTGCGAAGATCAGGCTCGAGAAGGGTCTTTGGGGCCGACCGTTCTGTTCGATACGAGTAAAATGAAATTATTGTTATGTTTGTTAGCATTCGCATTCTCATGGCTGTTCCAAGAAAATAATCGTAGTAATTGCTTATGCAGAGCAATTCTGAGCACATTACAAGTGACATTATTTGAACAATTATTTGAAGTAACATGTAATTTCATTTCATAGCTACTTCCACGGCTGCGATCTCTTTTGAAATGATGTTAATTGAAATATTATCTCGAGTACGTCATTTTATTTTGCAAATATTCGAAATCATTATTTTAGACAACTGTGAAATTCTTGTTGGAGGATACGTGCGATTTAATGAGTCCGATTTATACTGACAGATTCGATGATATTCCTGCAACATAACAAAACTGATGTAATTATTGATATAATTATTACTGGTATAATTATTCTATAATAAGAAACATTGTTCTGAAGATTAACAATCCTCCGTTCCCTCTCCCGCGCCAGTGAAATGATTATTTGCTTTCGCGGTAATATCACATGGAGCCGGACAAAAATTTCTTTAGCATGAATTGTTTAAAACGGAATCTCTTTGTTGCGCATTTTTTTCAAAGATTACATTTTTGTGAACAGAGAGTACGTTCAAATTAAAACGATGCGATGGTTTTTTAAAATAAAATCTTCCCGTTGCAGATTACTTTGAGGATTATATTTTTCTTTTTTTGTTATGTCCGAAATAAAACTGTTTTTATCTTCAACAGCATTGAAAATTGCGAATCGAAAGGAATTATTTCGAATGTTTAAATTAGGCGGGAGAACAATGTGATTAATTGATGATCCGCGCAGAGCGTTAGAGGAAACATTTCGAATGGTTATACGAATACAACTTCTCTGATTATCTACAGATGACCATCGAACGACGCGATAATCGAATAACACCGATGACAGGCCGACAGGAATCTCGATGATCTTCCCGTATCTGAATGATTAATTCAATCCATACCAACGCGGTACTAACGTTTGGTTTTCATAAATCTGAACGAAGAGGGGTTTTCGGTCGTTGAGTAATGTATTCAATAAAAATTCGGTGATATGCAAATCCGGAGAGCTTTCCCCCGGACCTGACGAATTCGACAGTGTTCCAATCCACTCGGCGATATCCCCGCCCGCCGCCCTTCTTTTCATCTCGATATCC